TTATGTGTGTAGAGATCTCTGGTCCTCTTCTTAGATCATTGGTAAGTTTATTCTTCATACTATCTACTCAGGAATAGAATCTGATTCTATGTTCTTCCAACAGGACTTATGTAGGTTAGTAATTGGCAGGGATTTTTTTCATGTAATTTACTGTAGCACAGTGTTGTCATGTATCTGTACCCTACTGTAGTGAATATATAATCTTTCTTTGTCTCCTGATTAGTGTGATGATCCTATAGAAGAAACCCTAATCCAAAACAATATTAGTTGGGTGGAAAATGACTATAGAAGCTCTGAGAGCTCTGAGAGCACTGAGAGCTATAGGAGATATTGCCACTATACATAGGAACAAGAGATCCATAAGTTGCTAACATTGATATGGTAGCTCTCAATGCTCTCCAACAATATCTGTTCTATAGTATCCCTATGAGAAATTTCCTGGTTTGCTGATGTGAGGGACGGCGAGGGTGGTGGCGGGGCAGAGTGTGGGTGGGAGCCTCTTTCCAAATGTGGCCTTCCCCGCTCGATCACAACCTTGCGATTCTTTCTGCTTCTACTCAGACCACTCAACCAACCTAGTCCTCCGGTCACATATTCGCCTACCATATGCCATTATACAAAGGTCAGTATCATAACCACTGTTTGTTCACGTACGCGTCATTGACGCGTTCACTTTGTAGATGTGGTGGCCAAGATCCAGAAACTATGGCGCGCTTGGCGCCGCCGCAAACTTCCAGAACCGTCATCTGCTCAATCCCGGGATCGCCACATCTACGAAGATATCTATGATGAATATCGGAGGCAGGGTGCAACACTGTGGAGAGGGGAAGGCAGTCATGAATGGCATTGCCGTGGGTTAAGTGCTCTCCACCCCCGGGTCTTCATTGTGGGAGACTCGAGCCAATTCCACGCTCGGGAGGTCTGTGTCATTCTTACCGGTCGCTCACTTGCCTGGCTGATGCCATTCTATAGAACATCCCCATCGAAAATAGCATGGCTTCATCCAGACGGTCTGTTGATAGTGGTTATGGTGACTCGGAGTGGTCTTTACCTCCACCCCTGGAGTCGATATCATCTCATGGTCGACTGTCTCTCGATTCCATGCCGCCTCTGGAATAACTTACGCTGGGTATATACAGTAGTTCGTGCATATGCCCTGGGAGTTTGTTGTACCATGATATTGCATAGAGGACTCTGTTGTGTGATCCAACACATCTACTTACTCCCATTCCATTCTGCTGCAAGATACAGTCTTGAAGTCTGCCCATCATCAGCATGAATAAACGGGGCCCTCATACTCTGCGAACAATCTCATCCTCCATGAGGCCGATCCATCGTACGATTCACTCAAACCGTCATAAATCATGGATGGCGCCATTTCCATCGAGGTCGGTGTCAGTGCTCTATCATGCGTACTTGACTGTGTCGGATCTGAACGTTCCGAGGAGCATCGCCCGTTTGAACCAGGAAATTGTCAATGTGTTATGTGCGGAGACCACGGAGCTGATACGCACCGATGCTTTCCTCGAGGTTTTGCAGCGGCGAAGTCGGATGCGGATTGATGATACCGAGTCACCGTCTCATGTGGTCTCCGTATGGAATGCTCCTATCCGGCTGGCACTCCAACAGCACGCCGTCCTCGAAAGAAAAGCGGTGTTCAACACCGTTCAAAATAAATGCTCCGTTGATAAAACCGCGAAGACGCACCAGCCCACCACGATGAAGTGTGAAGGATGGTGTTAAAGCCTGGTGCTTATGCATGTATTACATGGGCTGTGAGCCCACCAGATGCTCTGAATGTGGGGGCGACTCGGAAAACCCAAGGCGCATGATTGTGCTACCTTTGACAGGGATGTATCACACAGGCTGCAGGCAGCATTTGACGCACCAACACCGCGGTGTGTTCCATGCGTCATAGATAAGAATGATATTCCGGATGTCCTGCAGACTGAGGATGCAAAAAGGACGAGCGAGCACTTCACTGACCTTCGCCGTTCTCGTTCCAGGCTGGTTCATGTGGTTGCACTGTATTGCCCTGTCCTTGTCTCAGTAACTTTTCGGATGATTGGATCTCGGTAATCTTTTACGTGAGTATGACGGTGTATGCAGAGGTGGTCCCAACTAAGGGCAGCGATGCCAGTACTGAGCGAGACACCGCCCCGTTGGCAGAGTCTAAGAAATCACCCTCCTCTGAAGTTACTTCCGTCGTCCATCACGGTGAACCTTCCGACTTCGCTCGGACCACAAAATTCTGTTGGCCGTCGGCGTCCTGGGTGACTCGGAGTGAGGTGGTATCATGCACCAAAGTCGAATTGTACAACTCGAGCAGCCATGGGCCTCTCTTGAATAATTATATAAAGGGTCATCAACAGAAAAATCGGACCGACCTGGTTCTTACGCTTTGCAATAAGCCACTCACCGTTGTTCACTCCATATATCTTCTCAAATGTCATCTCGCGATACTCGTCGATCTGCAGCTGCTCGCGCTGCTGCGAAGGGGAACGGAGAGGTCGGTACTTGAGCACTTACTCGCGTGCCTCGTGTCTGATCGTTCTTTCCTTTCTCGCCACAGGACACGTTGCCGGCGCCTGTTGCTCATTTGCAGGCAGTGGCAAAGCCGGGGCTCGGTCTCGCGGCTGAGTCTGCACCGCCTTTGTCTCCTGCTCATGTCATTCGCGACTCGAGCCCTTTGTCTGGGGCGTGCATTTCCAAGCTACCTTCCTCATGTCGTTGGTACTTACCAATTGGTTTCATAGACATCGAGCCCACTGCACCTGCATCGTCGCAAACCGTCGTTGATGAAGAGTCCACGAACGCAAGTGTCGCTGTCGTGCACGGTGGTATGTCTTCTCGCATCACCAATGTCATGATGATCTTGCACTGATGGATGTATCCCATGTAGGCAATGATGGAGGCTGCAACGTCGTAGAACCTGTCGACAAGAGCTCTTCTGGTGTGAAGGCCGCGACTGATGGTGGTACGTCTTCAAAGTCCGTTCATGTATTTACTCTTTGGCTGACGATGTGTACGTGCACAGGAATGCCTATCGATGTTGAAGGCAGCGTCCGTACGACTGCTGACCTGGGGACTGGTATGCAACTGAATGTGGATAACCCGAACATCCCTCCTCCTGGACGGTGTGTGCGCTACAGTATCTCAGCGCATTCTGTGCACTGATGGTCCACCCACTACTGAAACACAGGCCTCGCGACGCAGTCACAGAGCAGGAAATGAAGGACGAGAATGCCCAGTTGTTGGCCATGGACATCGCTGCTATAGAACATGCAACGGTTAGGTACGTTCATATCTTAAACTTTACCTATCGTTAGTGATATGAACTATCTCTGGCCTTCAACTTGTGCAGGACCATCGCAAGACTGTGTGATGGGGACGAGAATCACGAGCTGAAGCCAATAGACCCTCCGTGCGTACTCTTTCGAAGCTTGTAGCTGGGCTTTGGCACTCAAATCTATCAATATTGTACCATTGCCTGTTTAGGACGGTTCCCATTGCAGGTGTGACTACGGAAGCGCAGGGCGTTGATGGTCATGCGGCTACGGAGGCAGGGTGAGTACCCACCACCTTGTCTATCATACGACCGCCTGCCTAGATGTGAATGCTGACCTCCGTGCAGAACCTCGACTGGGGGCGCCAACCCCTCCACGGCCGCCACGCCCCCTGGGTTGGACACCGAACTCGTCCTTGACCACCTTCACCACCTCCCCTTCTTCACCGGCAACACTTCCTTTGCTGCTCAGGACTCCGTGGCCTGGATGCGTCAGGAAAGGGCTAACATCGTTGCCGTTGCCGGGGCCGTTCCCTCCCCGTCGACCGACCCCGCCGCTCTGATCATCCTCGGCCAAGTGGCGCACGACGACTTCTGGGCGGACGCGACGGCCGGCTACCGTGGCCCCACTCGCTTCACCGGCGCGATAACGGATGCGAAGGCCTCCCTGAAGCTTATCAGACCTTCCACTGCTGCATTCCATCCTTTGTGGTCGACGGCCATCACGAACATCGACAAGCTGTCGGCGGTCATAGCCATCCCTGGTGTGGCCCATAACGGGTTCACCCCGAAGGCGAACTGCAAGTTCATCCATCGTCCGTTCTCGGTGCGTATTTCTCACTTGGCTAGTATTCGTGCTTTCTCTGAAGTTTGTGTGCAGGCGAAGGAGGTCTATGGTGGCGCTGATGACAGCGATATGGGTTCGTCTTTCTTGTGTTCTACTTACTTCGTGGCACTGGCTCACGCGCGCTCCTGCTCATGTAGTCGAGGACATCTTCCAATTGGAGAACATCCCGACCACAAGTACCAAGGCCGCAGCTGAACTCAAGGCCATCAAGGAGACTCACGTCTACAATCCCCTCCCTGCATACGACATTGACGGCAGCATCATCGAGCCCAAGGACTATCGTGCGAAACTTCAAGGAGCGACCATCATCATGACTTTCGGACTGAAGCACTACTTCATCGGGCCACGTTCGGAGGGCGTTGCGGGTAATAACACGTTCGTCGCTGACATCTTGAAGATTCGGGTGGTTGAGGCGGCTCGTCCTCGCCCGGTTTCTCCCATGAAGAGAAAGCGTGTGCTGACGACTGACTCTGATGGACTTCTCGCGCCTGCGAAAGTATCTCGCACTGCTTGATACTTCTGATACTATTGGCTTAGTTCCGTCGTACTTTCCCTTCCGTCCGTTTTACAGCCTTTTTATACCCACTCGCTCTGATCGTCTCGTCGCTCCGCGCCTGTCCTTCCATTCTTTTGAGTTTATGTGTTTGCTACCCGACTGTTTTAGAGTGTCCCGACCACGCAGCCGTCCTCTCCTTGCTCGTCCTTTTGCGTAGTCAGACCGTCTCCTGTTGACCGTTGCGTACTGTACTGCTGCGAATCATAATGGTTGTGTTGGTCCAAAATGGTCTCCGTGTGATTTTTCGTCAATTCATGCCCTATCTCACAATAGCTGGTTTGTCCGAGCATCGTAGGCAGTCATTAAAATATCGCCGGAGGAGCGCCAAACCTATTTACCAAGCAAGGTGGCTGTTGCCGAAGGCAGCGCTCCCCCAGTTGGATTGGCCCATCGATATTGATGCTCGGCGCACTCAAACTATTACATATCATTTCCGCTACTTTAGTAGTGGGTCTTACAGGAAGTATCGTTTGGTTTTTGGCGGAGAATCGTGCAATTCCCTTACATGGAAATTGCTTACTCAATATCGGTTCGGACCTCCCGTGCTCCTTCCGCTCCCCATTCGGCACATGCTACGGCGGTTCATGGGCTGTATAGTTGTGGCTGCCTTTGATTCCCACGCACTTTGCGCATCGCTCTACGTCGTCGCTTGCCGTATCAACATGGGTCCTCTCTCGTTCTCCATGTTTGGCTCCTCTGAAGGCCTTGATGTGCACATTCT